GGAACTTAATTAAAGATATCATTTTCCAATTTAGGATTGAAATGACAGCTAAATGTTTGGCGATTGTACTATATATGAATGAAGGTACTGTTGATGGTGTAAATGAAATGGATTACGATGGACCGTCAAGTGGAGGTTTTACTGTGTACAGTGGTATTGAGTTTKAACATTTTGTTCAAATGGTTGGAGTGTCACTGAAGTTAGATATGGGGACGAGTAAATTAGAACTTGTTTATAGACACCCTAATCAAACACCATCGAGTTCCATTAAATACATTCCTATTCCATTAGAGAATCAGAATGCATTGGATTTAATGTTCTCTATTGCACCGCCATGTCCACAATTAGTGGAATTATATGTGAATGTTAGAAATATGACGAATGTCCCATTGGACCTCGATGGTGAACATGATATCCCTTTTGAATCAGTGGACCTCGAGGGACCCAACCAATGTCTTGACCATAGTCAATGTCTTGATCCCGAACCTGAGTTAGTTGTACCTCCAACGACTAATTTAGATAAAGATACAGACTTAACTGCTGATAATAGGTTTATAGAACTCAGGACAGTGACAGATGATGAGTTTGATGAATTGGAACTCGAGGGTGAACATGAGATCCCTTCTCAAACATTTAATGACATTTCAATGTTAACAGTATTGCAGAACACGAGTTTATGTTGCGACCAGTGACAGTTGAAAATGATATGTTGTACAAGGGGTTCATGTGTAATGATAAAAAAACTATGCAACATATTGTCAAACGTTTTGCTGTAAAGAGTCACCACCCTTAAGAAGTTGTAGAGTTGACACCATCTATATGGGCAGTTAGATGTAAGAAGTGGCAAGATGGATGTAACTAGCGACTTTGTGCGATTCTTAAGAAAGGTATTGTAACGCCCCGCGTTCTCGGACTCGTTTATTTTTGGATAAATGGTGTCCTTGGATTTTTCCCTAAGTTGATAACTTTAATTCTTGGATCTTCTAACTTTGAAATTCTAATTTTTGGCTAAATTGGAATTAAGTTTAATTTCATTGGATTAAGATAATTTAAGTTCTCGACCGTGTAGGAGATTTTTAGATAAATCTTAAATTCAGAGGTTTTAGGATTTTCCTTCATAAATTCTACTTTTCTTTGAAATTATTATTCTTGGGTCTTAGAGTTGAAGTTAATTATTTTATCTCGAATTATTGTGAGTTTTATTTTAACAACTAATGTGAGATTTCGGGTTTCTTGTTTTGGGCCGTTAGAACTATTTGAAAATAGAATTCTCGTTTCCTCTAGCCCATGGGCTTTCCATTGGACTTGGGAGTTGG